GGCCCCTCACTACAAGAAGGACATTGAGGTGCTGGAGCGTGTGTCCAAAGAAGGGCAACGAAGCTGGCGAAGGATCTAGAGCACAAGTCTTATGAGGAGCGGTTGAGGGAACTGGGGTTGTTTAGCCTGGAGAAAAGGAGGCTCAGGGGAGACCTCATCGTGCTCTACAACTACCTGAAAGGAGGCTGTAGCGAGGTGGGGGTCGGTCTCTTCTCCCAAGTAACTAGGGACAGGACGAGAGGAAATGGCCTCAAGTTGTGCCAGGGGAGGTTTAGATTGGACATGAGGAAAAATTTCTTCACTGAAAGGGTTGTCAAGCATTGGAACAGGCTGCCCCGGGAAGTGGTTGGGTCCCCATCCCTGGAGGTATTTAAAAGACGTGTAGATGTGGTGCTCAGGGACATGGTTTAGTGGTGGACTTGGCAGTGCTAGGTTAACGGTTGGACTTGATGATCTTAAAGGTCTTTTGCAACCTAAACGATTCTATGATTCTATGATTTGGTCATGTTCTTATTACCCAGTGTAGAAATACTTAATGGTTGAATATATTGTGTAGAAGAGCTTGCCCATGTGGTATTTTCTAGTTCAAGTCCATTTAGTTGCACAGAAAAGGAGGTAAAAACTAAATAACTCTAGAAGAAACAACCTTCTTACAAGAAAAAAATTAAAAGGCTCTCTTGTGGCATTGAAAGAGAAATAATCACATAAATCTTGTGCAAGCAGCAAAGAAACAAGAAGCATAACAGAGGTGCATGTCCCCAAGTCTTTTAGTTTGCCCAGCTTTTTGCAATGCAAGAGTCTGTAAATGCATGCTACAATAAATGTACTCTGGCACCTTTCATGTTGCCCTAAGATATCAGTGTATTTTCTGTGTGATAGCAAGATCCATCATCTCTAGACAGTCATGTCTTCATCCAGGAAAGTAAACGGTATGATTTGCTATCTTGAGCTGATGTGGCTGGGTTGAAGGATGGATTCTGTATGGAAGGATGGTTATATGTAACAGCACGTGCAAGGGACGTTCTTTAAAATATTTGAACAACCTAGGGCCAAGATTTCCTGTGCTATTGAGAAGGTAATGAGAGATCTGACCACCTGAGCACAAGCCATTCCTGCAAAAGCTATTCGTATAAGATCATGGTGCACCAACCAAAAATCTCTATGAACAGGCAGGTTGCTCTAATTCATACTGTGAAACTTTGAGGAATCTCCTTGTTGTATTCAGTTTTCATAGCCTGTATCAAAAATTGCAAATTTTAAGCTGTTCCTGTAGTTTTCACTTGTATTAACCATATACACTTACATTGCCCAAAATGGTGTGTACAGACCTTTTTTCTTTTTTTTTTTTCTTTCTCTCTCAGACACCCTGGCTCTGGAACACCAGACAGTGCTGGAATGGGTATCCATATCAGGTAAAAGTTACAGTGCTGCCTAAAAACAAACATGACACCTCTTCAGAGCTCTGTTTTTATTATGGTGGAGCTTTGTGTTAATATGTTAGTGTGAATGGGCTACTCAGCATTTCAGAACATTGTTAGATGCTCCCCATCTTGCTTGAGTTCAAGATGGAAAAAACGAATATAGCTGTCACACCTGTTTTGAAATGAAGCACAGGATCTGAAAACAGATCTGGAAAACTAACTGTGAAAGCAGACATCTGCAATGGTGGTAGAATGGTCATTTTTTACGAAGTTCTGAGGATACTGAAAGTTTTAGCAAAGCCTCAGATTCAGTGGATTGGGAAAGCCAGTATAGTTCTCATAGTTGTTATACTGCATACAGGGTGAGACTTAATCCCTGGCAGTTGGTGTGATCAAAGAGTGTGCTAGGTGCTAGCCAAATATAATTGACATTGAATTCCAAAAGCTACAGCAAAGAGTTTGCAATTTAAGGAGTCTAACCTGTCTAGGGCATATTGCCTTTTTTTTTTTTTTTTTTTTTTGGCCTTCTTTGTTTTCCTGAAGGGCACGGAGGGGAAAAAAACCCTCATTGCCAGACTGGAAAGTATGAAGAAGAGTATTGTCTGAAAGACGCGTGTATTCCCTGTGATAGTGAACAGCCCTAGACAGGCTGAACAGGAGAACCGTGTTTAGGTTTGGGTGCTACTGTTCTTGCAGGTTGTGTACCTGTTGGAAATAGTTCTGTGGAGATAGCTCAGCAAGAATGACCAGAAATCTTGATCTGAGAAAGGTTGAAGGAATTTGGTCATTTAGCCTCAGAAGAAATAATGACTTAAATTCCACCCAAGGACTGGAGGGTGAACTGAATAACGTTAGGGAAGCAGCAGAAGAAATTGAATAGGGGAAGTGTTGAATCTTCATCCCTCAGAGATTTTACGAACAATTGTTTGTCAGAATTTATATGGCTGCAGTCACGGTTGCCTTTCAGTCCTGTTTTCTACTATTTTTGTGTTACTACATGCAAGAAGAGATTTACTTATGACGTAAGACCATGAATCTTACTGGTTAAAGAACATACATTTACCAGACTTATCAGAAGAATGAGGTCATTCAGAAAGTTACTTACGACTTTTAGAGGGTGGCAACTAAACTTACTGTATCTAAAATCATGCTACTAGTGGAGAGGGTCCAACAGAAAGTAAATCATCAAATAAAAGTCATTATCAAAATCATTGTCTTGGAGATAAAAATGTCTACTGGGTGCTAATCAGGATTAAGTACTGGGTTTTCAATTTGGTGGGTTTTTTTTTCTTAATTAGATAAAATTTCTAATACCTTGTTTACTACAAATCCTTTGTAAGTTATTCAACACAGCATTGCAGAAATCCAGCTGGGCTTACTGTAGATATAGTCAAATGGATCATTTGAGTGACCACTCTACCCATAAGCACAGAATAGTCCTACTGAAGTTAAGTCTATGGAGAACTGAAACCTAACATGTAAACTGAGTTAAACACACACTATTGATCCTTCCATGGAGGGAAACCATTGTATCTTTAGAATCCCCCTTCATTATCATTATATATGGGCTTACAAATACTAATGCTATTGTTAATAAAGCAGCTGACAATCTTAATTGTTTTACTAGAAATTTTCCCCAGTGAGTTCTCTTGCAATAATGAGTAGAATAGTCACGGTTCATTGCTAGCTCATGTTCTCTTCCCTTTTTTTAATTACACCTAATTAAAAGCTTACTGGCAGTCTCACTGAATCAGAAGAGGATTATATTGGCCCAAGAAATGGCTTTAAAAGATTGATTTTGAGTGCATGTGTTTTTCATAAAGCATAAGCATATGTCTATATTTAAATAACCCACATAGAGCATTCAGTGGGCACCTAAGGACTGTTTTTCAGCTGCAAAGAACTGGTCTGCAAAAGGGAATGGGAATAAAAGAGGCAACTGAAATGCCTCTTGCCAATGGAAACAGCTCATGCCCTGCTTGGGTGCATGGTTGTGCCAGTGCAAACTGCTCTAGAGACAGCTCATCTAATCCCTCAGGAGATGCCCTCAGGAGCTTCTCCTGTGCCAGTGCCACTTTCTATCACTGCGATGGAAGATGTGACTAGTAGGGAGGCACAATCGCATGGAAATTAAGAGTAGCTCCTAGAACTGGCTCTCTTAGGCTGGGGGCTAAACAGCCTATGTGTGCTACCGGTTACCTTCTTTGAAGTTGGTTTTGGTTGTGCATAAGTTCCTGTGTCTTGTTATTTTTATTTCTTTTACTTTTAATCATCTGTGTAACCATGTAGTATATCAAACAAGATGCCTAGATAAATTTATTTTCTTCTTTCCAAATGTTAACATGTTCCCAGAAAATGGTTAAATTCTTTAAAAGTAGGCTTTTATATTAGAAAGAGCCCTGTGTAAAGCTCACAACGTTCTCATCATAAGCAGATGAGATTGTATGCTAGCACTACTTTTCTCTAATCTGCTCTAGCATTGTTTCTTTTGCTGTGCTTTAAGTGCACATGACTGATGTACAGCAAGATGTTTCAAGTAATCTTCCAAAACAGACTTAGGAGTACTCAGAATTTAGTTTGTTCTAGATTCCGAACAGACAACATCATAATTTTTTAGTATTATAATATTACAATACTGTCAAGATTAAAACATAAGAGGAGGGTAGGTTGAGGAGCTTTATTTTTCTGGAGCCATCAAAGTTTGAAAGAGACAACAGTCAACATTTTTCTTACATAGGATGCTTATGTATAATTCAATAATCCCACTGTGATTAAACATGTCTCCTATAGACCTCAGCTGCCTGTAATGTCAGTTAGACTCTATTAACCTTTTCTCATCTCCATCTTTCAGCCACTGATGCCTGACCTTCATTATTACTACATAGTTGAATTGTCATTCTACTGGTCCTTAATGTTTTCTCAATTCATTGACATCAAAAGAAAGGTAAGAACAATGAGACTAAAAACATTGAAAGCTTTAAGCACATATCTTTCTTGACTTGAGGAATACCTGTATTACCTGTGCAGTGACCTGGAAATACAGTTCTTTCCAGTCACCGCCTCTTGCAGATATCCGTCACTGAGAAACTGGTGTTGAAGTGCTTGTCTAACTCTGTTTCTTGTTACTATGATGTGGGTTTTTTCTGCACATGGGAAGAAGAGCCTGGAGTAATCAAATATTCAAGGGGAAATAGCATCAGCCCAAAGAACCTTCTGCTCTCAGACAGTCACTTGATTGGAATTGAACACGTAGTAGCTAATAGGTGTACTGTTTCTTCTAAGAGTTAAATGATGAAATATCAATGATGGAGCAAGACTGCCTCATAAATTCACAGTATCGCTTTGGTAAGATCTATGAGGGCTTTCAATTTATTCTACAAAGGGATGGTAAAAATGGGGATACCTTTAATATTTAAAAGTGATATAACATTTAATCTTTATGGTTATGAAATTTCAAGTAGGTGAGCATTGCTATTAAGGGGCTATTAATCAAGAAAATAAAACTCTGGCCAGATAAAAACATTTTTCCAATATCAGTAGCAACCTGCTCCATATTCCTTCATCCAAGTTCTCTCCTCCCAGGAAAGTGCTAGTCCACAGCAGAACAGGCAGCACAACAGTCATTCTAATAACAGTCCATTGAGCTATTCTTGCAGGGTTTTTTAATGTTGCAAAATTATTTGTTCAAAACGTTTGGAAGGATTTTATAATATTTTTATGTGCCTCCTTCTACTGTCATTTAATTAAATGATTGTAGGCTATGCTAATGGAACAATCCCCGCTTACTAGAATTTTAGCAGGAGCATAACTCTGAGAGTAAATGAAGGATCCAGTATTTCCTGAATAAATGTATCTGCTGTTTGGAACCACAGTGTGGTCCTGCAAGTCTTGCGTCAGAGCCACGTATATAGAAAAACATCCCTCTATTTGAATTTCCTGATTTTTTCAGAAGTAGAAATCTCAAGAAAACATCCACAAATTTTAAATCCATATTGGAGGGTAAACTGTAAACAAAACAACCAATTTAGGATTAATACATGTAAATCCCTTGCTTGCATTGTCTGTAGATGCTAAACATTCTGTTAATCGTGAGTTTGAAATGAGTACAACTTCACTGTTTCAAAAAACAGAGATGCAGAAAAACAGTGCTTAATAGAGCTGTATGATAGTGGAGATGAATTTAAATCAAGAGTAACATTGACTAATATACATAAGCTGCAGATGCCAGCAATACTGAATAGCCATTTGTCAATATATCAACCAAAACCAAACCTCCGCAGCAATGTTACAGAATTGTTCAGGTTATTGATGCAGAAATATATTGTGTCTAATCAGTCCCCCTACATTCATATTCAGCCCTCTGCACTGTGCCATTAGTTACATTTTATTTTCTTTGTGTACCTCTTGAGGGAGAGGAAAATGTAACAGCATTGCAGTTGCAACAGTACTGCAATTTTGCAGTACAATACATCTTTAAAGAATATTTAATTGATTCCTGACTAGTTGCTTTACTCATGTGAAAAGTAATTGGAGGCTACCTGAACAGCATCTAGGTTCAGCACTGAAGTACACTTCTGAAAAGGACCATTGGGAGTGTCAGTAACACCTTTCTCATTTAATACATCTCATGAGCAAATGGTATAGCTTTTTCCCTCATGACTTGGAAATTTTATTCCCATTGGTGAGCTGAGCACAGAGCTAAAGCCTGATCCTGTCCATAGTACAGGTGCAAGTAAACAATCTTTTGCAAGTCTGTTTCTCAGTTATATATAAATGACTTGTACTTGTTACCAGGAAGACTTTGCAGCAGCCTACTGTGGAAATAGAAAGGGAGATGGAGGTGGGGAAGTGGATCGCTAACAGCTAAGTAGCACCCCTGCTGCAGATTTGCAGTGCTTAAACCCAGAGCACCAGATCAAAGCAGTGTCCCAGGCGTCTGCCGTGTCTGAGAACATTCAGCGTCCAGCAGAGAGCAGGAGCACAATATCTGCAGTGCAATGGTAGCAAGTCAAAAGCCTTTAATTATAAGCACCTTGCAGGAGACAGTGGAGATGCCATATTTATAAATAACCTATTAGATCACTGACCAGTTTGGACTGTGGAGGCAGTTCTTTTAGTAATGTAAGCAAAATTGGTAACTAGGAAGATCAGACTGGAGAAATGCAGCCATGCGCTGGTGTCACACAGTAAAACTGTTCTGCGGCCAGGGGCGGGTGCAAATTGAAAAATGTTAGCACTGGGAGCTTACAGTAGTTGAGAACAAGTACTAAAAGCTTGACAGAGACACCAGCTTTTGCAGCACCATAATAGTTCTCTTTTAAAGAGCAGGTTTAGTTTAAAAAATGTGGAAACCTCTTGATGTACCCAATATGCAATGTGTGAAACAGTGCCTATAAGAAATAAGGCTCTGTTTAACTGGAAGAAGCAGGAAATTTGCCAGCTAATATCAGACGCTGTTGTAGTACTTCATGGCAGCTTGTACAGAGCAGATTAACAGTTCTGAGCCTGAGAAACCTGTTGATGTTTTCATGTTACAGTGAGAAGGAATACTTTTATCTAAGTCTTGGTTATTATTTTAGATACTTTAAATTCAGCAGTGGCTGTGTTGTAGTCTGGGATGATAAAAAGTGCCCTGGCAGCCTCGTGCACTGCAGGAATTCAGCCAACCGCTTTTATGTAGCTGGGTTTCTCTCAAGGTCAGGTGCGGTAGGTCTTCCCTGAAAGCACCAGCACTCGGCACTGGCCTAACTCCAGCACTGGTCTTTTACTCACTGTAGCTCAAGAGAAATGTACTTGCTGTTTTCCATCTCCATTTTATTCTTCTCTGATAGCGAATTCATTACTTTAAAATGACTTTCAATTGGTTTGCTGACTTTCAAATACCTGTTTATCTTTATTTAGGTGTTCTAAATTCCCCCAGATTATCTTTGCCTGACTGAAGAGGTGTGAGCAAACTATTTAGGCTGTTGCACATACCTACTATTGCATTAAGGCAGTGAACTGAGTAGATTAACTTTTACGGTTTTATAATGGCATGTTGCTTGCTTCATAAATATCTACTATGTTGCTGTAATGATGTTCCACCCTTAAGGGTTTCCACTTTCAAAGACTGCAGCCTAATATGATTTGGGTTTTTATCATCTCTGTCCAGCTTCCCATACTCCTCTTTTGAAAAACACAGAGAAAAAAATTAGATCGGGGAACTTTGTTACTCTCACAAGCCCCTGATGAGTTTTAAAAGCAGTGAGGCTTATTTACATGCTTTCTGGATACCTGAAGTATTGTTTGATAGAAAAACATTTGACCGGTGTATTTAAGGGAATGTATAAAATTTCTACTTAGCCAGTGTTTTAACAGGTTTGTAGAAGATCTAGGAGACCTTTCTGTGTATTCACACCTTTTTGTTCCAAGCATTTGGCATTTCCTAGAGCCAAATTTACTTTTTAAAAAAAAAATGACAGTTCACTCATTCCCAAAATAAAATAATCTGTAGCCGCTAATTTTCTTGCATATTCCATTTTGATTCTAGAAAATTTATGCTATATTTCACTGAATCTGGATCCTAGATCTCTTCTTCAAACTCAGTAAAAAAAGTCATAGACCTGATTTCTTTTGTTTCAGAGGAGAGGAATTTAGATTGTGTACATTTTGCAGACCTTTACTAGAATTGTAATGGTTGAAACCTTTAGCTGGTGATACTCCCCTTCCTTGTTGAAGCCCATTTCCAGAAGCTGGAGTGACTAATAAAGATGATGTTTTGCCCTTCAGTGGCACTAATGCTCCATAGCCACTTGGCAGTTTAGTCAGTGAGTGTCTCATGTTAAACAAACATGCATAGCAGAAGCCTCGATTCCAGGGGGCTTGTCTGCAAGTTGAGACCCATGGGGTTTCTCCATTGTCTGCCCTGCGTTCTTCCCACTGATGGTGTCACAAGTAGGTTCTTTCTCCTATTCTTAGCCACATATTTTCATGACACAGGCACATGATATCTTTCAGCAGTTACAACTGGAGGCTACAAATCTGCTGTAAATAAATGCGTCTTGCACAAATATACATACAGTTTGAAATATATTTAAAAAAAAGAAAAAGCCTATTCCTGTACAGCTGCTCTTCTGCTGTGTATGGGTGAAAGTGCTTGAGTAAGCTGGGAACACAAGTACCACTTGACATTATGGGGACTTGTACCATTAGTTTCTATGTGTTCATTACCCTTATGTCTAATTAAAATCCAACAGGTAGCATCTTCAAAGCATAGTGTTAATTACTGACGTAAAGAAATGTCATAAACAGGAAAGAAAGGACCAGAATAAGAAAAGTAGGCTTATTTATATCACTGCTACTTTTTTCTAACCATTTTCAGTATGTCAGTCCAGCATCTCCATTTCAGAGCTGGCAGAGTCCGATAACTGTCTCTTTTAAGAAACATTATCAGAGAAGGAGTTCCCTGGACAGCATTTCCATGAGTACACTCATGCAGAAGTGCAGAAGACTACTGCCCAAGAGCATTAGGGCTGCTTAGGAATAATCAAAATTCCAAGAGGGACTAGAAATCTTGTAATTGTAGAACATGAATGTGTCAGCTATAAAAACAGATGAGAATTTTCTACTTGGCTTCTTCCCCTATTTGGACTTCCTATGAGCTAACGTAATTGCAATTAGAAGGAAAATGAAGAACAGTGCCATAGCATTTGCAGCTGAAGGAGGTAGAGAGCTAGGCTGTAGTACAGCCATATGGCAATGCTAGTAGCTTACTTCTGATCTCAGGGAATAAGGTAGGTGCTTTGCTGTTTTGATTACGGTATGGTGAAATGGTCCCCATGTGTGGGTTTGTAGTTACTGAAATGACTAAGATGCCATACCCCTGCTTTCCCTTAAGACTCTTAGAAAGGGAAACAGCCTTAATGCTCTTTTTGTTCAGTCTGCTTTAAGAAAACGGATTTAAAGCAATGGCTTGAGATGACTGCTGATGAATGTATTTGATTGTGCTCCACACTGCTGAGGACCAAATAACCTGGCTGTGAAATGTTGGGTGTATACCAGACTAGGATATGGTTCTCTGCTTTTAGTCTTTTTTTCCCTTCCCCCCTGCTCCCCTTCAGCTTTGTGGTGGAGATACCGGCAATGCCCATTGATGAGTATGCGAAGGAAATAGAACCTTGTAGCACCTGATAGCATTAAATATAAAGCGATAGGCTGGGAGGAGGTCCTGTCTCTATTCAGTTAGTGAGACTGCTCAAGCTGCAGGTTTTTCCACGGAGTCCAGGTGTACATTGTAGTGAAGCCAAGTGCTGGTACTGAGAGGCAGTGGCACTGCACGTCTTTGAAAGCAGTGGTGCTTGCTACATGCGTGCTGCATTCCTGAAGAGAGGTACGGTGACACTGGGCAGTTACTCTTCCCAGTATTGGAGAGACAGAGCAGTCGGCAGCTGTAGCTGCTGCTTTTCTGGAGTTGACGCTGTGTTACTGGGAGCTCACCAGCACTTTCCATAGGGCGCTCCTGCCCGACACGTGTACGTTCAGTCCCTTTGCAAACCAGTTGCTGCCTCTCTAAAGACTGCAGGGTCTCAGTTTCGGTTTCTCTACTGTGGGCAGCTTAGCTGAAGACTACCACAGCTCAGCAGGACTGGCCCATGAAAGCTGCCAGAAAGCCAAATACCAGCTCCCAAGATGCTTGGCGAGCAGGCTGCCCAGAGGAGCCGCTGCTTCTAACTGCCTGGATCTCTCCCTTCAGACAGCCCTGCATGAGAGCCGCTAGATCCACTGAGAGCTGTGGTAGTAACTTTGTACCCGGTGCATGGAGAAACTCCCCAGTCAAATCATGCCTGTGATCTTTTCTTCGGGGTTTTGATATCACTTTCTCAAAGCTGTGCGGGTAGTTCAGCAAACTCCAGCAAGATTTCTTTTTGACTGACTTGGTGCCTTGCAGAGAAGAGTCTCACCTCTGTGGGTCCTATTTTCTCAGTAATCAGTCTGGGAGTCTAGGCCAGGCAGATGGGTCATTCTCTCTGCTTTGCCTGCCCCTTGGCACATATCTAGGAATGTGATGTTACAGGATCTTCACCGCTCCTGGTATTTTTCAATACTAACAGTTACTTGCTGGCCAAATAACTCAGAGTTACTGATCTGGAGACCAGCTAACCTGCATCATTTGGGAGGCAGGAGATCAGATCTGAGTAGGAGGAGCTGCACCGGCTCATTTGAAGACTTTTCTGACCCTGTTTACACTGTGAAGACAAATCAGCTTCATTAAAAACAAACAAATAAGAAACTGGAACTGGGATTCTCAGCTCTGTGAAAGCTCTCAGTTGTGCTTGGCAGGTGACTGTCGATAACTCCTAATGCGGTGGAAATGTGTTTCCTGTTCCTTTGTAGCTATTTGAAGTCTTGTGAATGGTGTGTTATTTTGCATATTATATGTTGCTTGGTGTATCAGAAATATGGTGTAATTTTATTTGTATGTACATACGCCTTTTCAAAGTAACTTCAGCCGCAAATGTTTACTTCATTAGCTCAAATTACTATGAACTGAGAAATGTAGATATTGCCTAGCTTTCAATAATCTTTTTGCATTTTGTTAACGTACAACTATCATTTTATTCGGTCTAAGTGAAATAATATAGCAGGGTATTTAATGCACTTATGTAGCAGGATCTTTATGTAACATAACCTTAATGCTGGGTTTTAAAAACATCCATCCATTTTTGTATAAGAGTATTGAATCTCACTGTTTGGTTCTTTTTTTTTTTTTTTCCCCGCTGCTTCTTGCTGCTCTAGGATTTTGGCATCATGTTTACCCATCACATTGTAACAGTCACCCTGATAACCTTCTCATATGTAACCAATTTGACACGAGTTGGAACCTTGACCTTATGTCTCCATGATGCGGCTGATGTTGTCCTAGAGGTGAGATAATACGTATATCAGTGTCTGTACATGGTATTCACTATTCTGAGAGCTAGCATGTCAATAGGTGGAATCTATTTGTTATTCAAAACAAGTATTTCTTAAGCAAAGAGGCCAGTTCAAGATGGTAATAGTGATTAATATAGTGTATTTCCTTGCTGAAATATATTACACTTGTAGCAGTGCATGGTTGTGACTTTAGGCTGTTTTATCCTTGGTAAGTTGCTTGTACAGAGCAGAAACTGGTAATGCATTGCATGCCAGGGAAGGTTACACACAGGTTTTAAATATAACATGGTAAAGTCAAAGGCTCGAAGTTGCAAAATCTGGAAGGTGATGACTGTGTGAGGTGGAAGCTCCTGGTTCTTGACCCCTCTGAAGTGATGTGCAGGGCAAGAACCCTATCTCCGAAAGAATCAAGGTGTCATAGTTTGATTCTGCTGTGCTTTGCTGGGCAGAGGGTGCTGGATTACTTAGTGGCTGTTCTGTGCACAGGCAGTGAGCTGACCTCTGGTCCCCAGGATTTTCCAGGTTCCTGTGCCTCCGCATCCAGATGCCGGTATTAAACAGTTGGCTTTGGAGAAGAAGGATGATTGAAATTCTTTTAAGTCAGGATGGTCTGTAACTTCCGTAGCGGCAATTTAGAGATGTTGTCATCTTGTATGTGCATCAGTTCTCAGACCGCTGTGGGTGATGCTGGGATTGGGCTGTCTGTGAACTCTCCACCAGGATCAAACCAAAGTTAATAACTATTTTGTCTGAAATTATCTTTTACTAAAGAGTAGTTGCAGGGATCCTGTTAATGCAAGAATATAGTCTCACTGTGTGAGTCACCTGTTGCAGAACCAAAATCCATTCTGATTCGATAGCGCTGTAAATCTGTTTTTATTTTTTAATCTTTTTTTAATCTAGAAGGCACATGACTGCCTGAGATAGAAAGCAACAGAGAATCTGGATTTCTCCTGATAGAAATAATTACATCTTTACAAGTTTATTTTTCTGTTTTAGCAATGTGTGTAGATCCATTCTGCTAGCTGTGGGTTCACCCAAACTTTCTTCATTCCTTTTTTCTCGCCACCAGACAGATGTACTTGACAGTGTTCATTCCAGATCAGACCAGTGCCTGTGGAACTATAAAACCACTGGAGAGCAGCTGCAATAGGCTAGCTAAAACCTTACCTTGAACACAATGAGATACGTATTTTTTCTGGATTCCTCTGTTCATTCACTGGCTAAGACAAAGAGAAATTGCTGATATTGTCATGTGATTTGCAAACATTCAGCAAATACACTTCCCCATGAGACACATACTTTAGTGGTCTTTCTAATCAATTCATTCAGTCTGTTCTGACTGGAAATACTAAAGCCAGTCTAAAGTGTAAGAAAGGAATCGCAACTCCTGAGAAGCATTTACTAGGAGGGCCATTACGACTCAGGCAACAAACTTTCTCCTGCTAGGGCAATTGGGCATAGCCCTGGTGCCGTGTGAGAGAAGATGGACTCCTACACACTGCTGGCATTACTGAGGGGAAAGTCAGTACAGAGAAAGAAAATTATCAGACTGCCAAAGAAGCTGGTAAACTATCTTGCCATGATGGATCAGTTGTGCACCTGACATGTTTTACATATTATATATTTGTAAAAATGAAAAGCTATTTCCAGAGGCCACTAGACTCTTTCCACCTACCGTTTCATAATGAAACATGTCCAGTGGAAAGCTGGAATGCAACATTTTTCCTATTATTTTTGCAGAACGTAGTATATATTGGTAGGAATACTGGAGGTCAAGTTTTTTCCATAGGTCTTAAGGCATCTGCAGGTACAGAAGAGTTATAGCAGGATTTTCAGGAATACATAACTTTCACTCAGACCTAAGAGAACAGCTATGTTGGATACTCAAAGCAGCCTAGCCACGGCAGGACAGACCAAACGTAGAGTCATTTGCTTGCCTAGGAAGCCATTACATTAGCTTAAGCTGAAATGTAGGCTACTGAGAGGCAACTTTCAGAATCCCAGCTAAGTTGTTTTGAGGGGTCTTGGGTATCATTGCACTGCAGTACAGCTTGTGAGTTGGAAACACTGTAACCCAACCTGCTGAAGCACTTAAAATCCCACCCATTTGGGGACCTTGAGACTTTTCAGCTTCAATTAATGAACACTGTGACAGTTTTGATGCCAGTGTATGGGTGTGAGTAGTTGCCAGTTTGGTATGCTTCTGGTGTATGAGCCTCACATAGCTGACAGTTCAACCTGAATCCTTTCTGTTCAGGTTACAGCTATCTCCTAACACACTTTTCTAAAAAAGCAGGGAATGGACACTTCAGACCAAGGCAAATAGCCACGCTGTAATATAAATGGATTTAAATAGACTAGCAAGACTATCTGGAAGAGCTGTGTTATTCAGTTGTAGTCATGGTTTTTAAGCATTGAAAATTGTGTTGTGTTGTCTTAGGTGGCCCAATTCCATCCAACAACATACCCTTTCCCTTTTTTTGTAGTCCTTCCTTATCAATATCATTTGTAGATATATTATTTGAGAACTGATGACCCAACAGCTGTACTGTTTTTGAGAAATGGCATGATACTACTACAAGTTGCTATAGCAATAACAGCTCCACATACTATGAAACCAGCTTTTTTAGAGTGCCACCATGGAAATACATCCAAAATTCCTATCTGAACTTTCAGTCATCTGCAAATCAAGGTGTCAGTAACTCTTCTGCTTTGCATGTTGGCACCAAAGTGTTCTCTTTTCCTTAAACCAGACTGTGAGTACAAACTGCTAGGAAACTCGTTTGTGTCCACTATAGAATACAGGGCTGATTCAGAAGGGCTGTTTTCTTTGCAGCACTGGTGGCTTTCGTCATATTTTGTGAGCTTCCTAACTTGTTTTCTGTTAGTGAGGATATCCTTTATGTTCAGATTTTGAGTGGAAACATTGCAGAAGTTATGTAACATCCAAAAGTGCAGGTTGGTTTTGGCATCCAGATTGTCTGACATGAGCATTGAGCACTTTCAGGTTCAGTGTGTTTGTACCAAAAAGTCAGACAGAATGCAAGAGTGTCTCTCACCATTTTAGACAATTCTCTGGTTTGAATTCTACATTCAGAATAGTATTCTATATGCATAGTTGTGGTAATTTTGCTCCCTCTTAGCCCTCTGGAAAGTCTGCACAAGTAAGCATCTTCTCAATATGGGAGCTGGATACAGGCCCCCTCAGAGGGGGTTTTGAAAGGGTTCCTAGTGACTTAAGTGGACACTAAATCAGGCTCTTCATGTACTTCATTGTGCAGTGACTCTCTGGATATATTTGACAGAAAGCATAAAGAAGGACTGTCCCTGCCTTGAAGCAGATGTTTATAAGTAACTGCTTACACACATGAACACGGTGGAAGCAGCATAGACATCTTAAAACAAGCTTGCTTGTACATGCTGTTTTCTTCAGGGAGAAGAGGGCAAAGAAACTTCAGGGAAGATCAGTGTTTTAATGAGTGGTTTGAGTGAAGAGTAATTAGTAGACTCTTTTACTGAGGAGGAGTCGGAAGGCTGCATGAAGACAAATGAGAGAAGCATGTAAAAATAGGTGCAGAGCAACAAGTTGGAAAGCAAAAGTTGGAAAGAGAGGGGAAGAGAGCCTTGGAAAAAGTTTTGAAGGGGAGGGATATAATCTTAGAGGTAGAAGCTGCTCTGTATAGGTCAGAAAGGAAGAAGAGATGCTGTAGGAGAACATAGGATATGGGGCACAATAGAGGATTTGAGACAAAGTTTGTATATAGCAACACTAGAAGGTCAGAGAGCATGGGGCAGGTGGAAGATGGATGGATGCTGAAAACGCAAGTAGAGCATACTGGAAAGGTGAGAGACAGGTAAAGAAGTTGGGGACAAGGACAGCATAAACACAGTGGGGTTCAATAAAAGGTTTAGAAGAGTTTTCTGAATCTGAAATTGTAGGATTTCAAAAAGGAAATTGAATAGGAAAGGACGAAATGAGAGATGTACTCTGGTTTTACGCAGTCTGGGTTTTTTTCTGAGAAGACATTTTCCACCTGCCTGGTGGAGAGGAGTTACGAGGTCACTGTGAGGTGGCCCAATGAAAACGTTAGAGATTTCATAAAAATTTGATTTCTTCTTCTTACAGCTTATACACAATACAAAAGAACTCAGTTGTCCTCACAGAAGTAAACAGATATTTCTTTCTTTTACAGGCTGCCAAAATGGCAAACTATTGCAAGTGTCAAAAACTGAGTGACCTTCTGTTCCTTACATTTGCCATTGTCTTCATTGTCAGTAGGCTTGGCATATATCCCTTATGGTGAGTAAGCATATCATTTTCCTCAAATGCTAAGCATCAAACAAGTTTGGAAATAACTATGTTATAATTGAACATGTTTCATTAACATTACTCTGTTTCCAAAGCACCAAGGAGAGTTTCGGACATAACCAGGTGCTGAAATAGCCTATTTGCTAGACTGCCATTGTGTTTACTGTGTGCTAGACAAGAAACATATGGGGCTTCTGCTGGTTTTGAGGTAGAAGTCGGTTGGAGTCCACATAGCTTCAGGTTAGCAGTTGATTACCTGCGTTGGCAAGAAGTTAGAGGAGAAATAAAATATTAGTCACCGAAGACACTGACCAGAGGCTAAGCTCGAAGCTAGGATCTTCTCATTAGCTTTATGAACATGTTCAGCTTAAAGAAAAACACAGTGAGATAAGGAAAGTCTGGCCCGCTTAAATCAGTATAAGGATGTTATTGCCATGCAGATTGCAATACTGCAGGCTACTCTTTTTCCACTCCTCCTTTGAATTGGGGGTCCTTGGGAAGCTGTGTAATACATATATCTATAAGCTAGTTATACAGGTGTTACTGTAATCTCACCTCTTCCCAGACAAAGGCAGCTGCTTGCATGGGCACATTCTCTTCTAGGTACACACACATGCATGCACACAAACAGGACATAGATGTTCGATTCTTTAACTAGGGTCTTCAATGTCCAGAAGGCAGCTGGCTAGTTAGGAAATACACTGATGTACTTCAGTGTAGAAACCTATTCAAGTTTCTCTGTAACCTGTGCCCTATATATGAGGAGGGCTGGGAGAAGGCGTACGCCTCACTCTTCTGTGTTCTGGATCCTTCCTTTCTCTTGTATGAACAGAACTAACCCAAATCTCTGTATCCCTATGAGAGCAGGAGGTGTCTGTCATTGCATCAGAAGATAATAGTGACAGTTTTGGTTTTGGGAAGCACCAAGAATGACAGAAATGTTACGCTTTGCAGAGTTTTATTTAGAGAGATTACCACCAAGTTCCTTATTTAAGCATGCAGAGGATTTACAGATGCCAATATCAACCTCTCTGCCACAGTCTCCTTTCAAATCCTCTGTAATGTTATCTCTTTGGGGTTTTGTTAATGCAAACAGGATAAGACCAAGGTGCCCTTAGGGAGCTGTGACATCAGCTCTGCTTAACAGTACAATGAAGAAGTCTCATTTAGCATTTAATGACTCCAAAGATAACATGATAATGCCTGGTCCCTACTGCGCTATGAGTTGGTTGAAGGACCATGACAAAAGTAGAAAATGGATAGACACACAAATTGCATGTTTAAAAATGCTTGTTATTTTTTTCAAGGAGCAATTATTTGTGTCTTAAACAGCTTTGCTTCCCTTTCCTCAGTCCTTCCTTGAAGCTAACTTGGCCATTCATTGAATTTCTGTAAATGAAGTAAGCTAGTTTTTCTACTTGCATGATCTCAGATAGGAAAAATGGTGGCACTCCTGCTCATAGGATTTCATCTGCCTGTTGCATTCTGTTTTATACTGAGAAATGGAGGAAGGACCCAATTCCACCAGTGCAGTTCTGCCACTGGAGGCTGCAGTACATGACTCTGCTTCAGGGAAGGCTCAGTCAGGTGATGACTGGGTTCACAAAGGGGAAGTCACACTTGACCAACCTGATAACCTTCTATGATGAAATCTCTGGCTTGGTAGATGAGGAGAGAGCAGTGGATATAGTCTACCCTGACTTCAGTAAGGCTTTCAACACTGCCTCCTGGAAGATCCTGAGAGAGAAACTGGTAACGTGTGGGCTAGATGAGCAAACAGTGAGGTGGACTGAAAACTAGCTGAGCAGCCAGACCCAGAGGGTAGTGATCAGTGGTATGAAGTCTAGTTGGGGGCCAGTAACTAGCGGTGTACCCCAGGGGTCAATACTGAGTCCAGTCCCATTCAACATCTTCATTAATGATCTGGATGATGTAGCAGAGTGCACCCTCAGCAAGTTTGCTCGTGTTCCAACCTGTGAGGAGCAGCTGATACACCAGAGGGTTGTGCTGCCATCCAGAGGGAAGGAACCTGAACAGGCTGGAGAAATGGGCCGACAGGAACCTCATGAAGTTCAGCAAAGGGAAGTGCAAAGTCCTGCACCAGTATATGCTGGGGGCTGACCAGCTGGAAAGCAGCTTTGCACAAAAGGACCTGGGGGTCCTGGTGGACACCAGGTTGACTATAAGCCAGCAATGTGCCCTTGCAGCAAAAAAGGCAAATGGTATCCTGTGCTGCATTAGACAAAGTATTGCCAGGAGGTCAAGGGAGGTGATCCTTCCCCTCTACTCAGCACTGGTGAGGCCACACCTGGAGTACTGTGTCCAGTTCTGGGCTCCCCACAAAGGGTCACTAAGATTGATTAAGGGACTGGAGCACCTCTCACATGAGGAAAGGCTGAGACAGGTGGGACTGTTTAGCATAGAGAAGAGAAAGCTCAGATATTATCAATATATATAAATATATGAAGGGAGAGTGTAAAGAAGACTGAGCCAGGCTCTTTTCAGTGGTGCCCAGGGCCAGGACCAGAGGCAATGAGTATGAACTGAAACACAGGAGGTGCCATCTGAACATCAGGAAACACTTTTTCACTGTGAGGGTGACTGAGCACTGGCACAGGTTCCCCAGAGAGGTTGTAGAGTCTCCATCCTTGGAGATACTCAAAAGCTGTATGGACATGATCCTGGGCAGCCTGCTACAGGTGACCCAGGTTGAGCAGGGCAGTTGGACAGGATGACGTCCTGAGGTCCCTTCCAACCTCAGCCATTCTGTGATTCTGTGAGCTGCCTTATGTGTTTAGCTGGGACTCCAGCATTTAAACCTCACTCTGTATTATTTGAAATGGCAAAGAAGGAACTGCTGACTTGAAATTTTTTGTTATTCAAACACAAACTTTACCAGATCACTGCTATGTGCTTGCCTTGCTGAATCGTCAACAAAGAACAGATTAATCTTGTCCAGAGTGCATGATTTTGAAGGAGGTCATTAGTCTTCACACATTTAACTAGAAGCAGCTGCCCAATATCCTTTTTCTCTTGAGACATCTGAAAATCAGCAAGGTCAAGATTTTCCCATCCTTTATATCCTTTCTATGGTAGTCAAGTTTTGGAAAGTCCACACTTTCAACCTGAAGTGTTTAAAATAATACTGTGTGTTTATAACTGGGACTGAAGCTCAGAAACTGGAGGTTCATGCTGTCTCAAGTGATTTCTGTGAAGTGTTGCAGCCAAGTGTCACGCTGTGCAGGAAGCCCTTGCTAGGACTAGGCAAATTATAAATTAAAGATTGACATGGCTAGTGGGAATCAGGCGTCATAGAGCTGAAGTCTGTGTAAGTGTCCCTAATACGCACCTCATGCTGTCTGACTGGCAGAGTCCTGGAAGAGATTACCAGCACAGCGATAAGTTATCTAGCAAGTGTCAAAACTTGAGCCCTGCTTTACAGCTGTGGCATTTTGTGCTGGTGTTCTGGATGTGCCCATCTGTTCCCTTATATGTTAGGTGACAGCAGCACTTCCATGCCACTTTAGGTTGAACCTTGTCTGAATCCTGCTCTATGGAGTAGCACTGGCCCAGTGTGCTGAAAGCAGGGTAAAAATCAAAGCGAGTAGATTTGGGGAAGAGAGAAAGGGAAGAGGGCTGCACAGTAGCTTCTGTTGTTGATGTCGGCTCCCTTGGTACTGAATATTGGGCTAATGAGGGCAGCAGGTTACAGCTGTGAATGAGGTTTGCTGCTGGGATGGAAAAGATCAGCATAGACTCTTGAAGGCAGTGAAGGCAGAGGGACTGTGTATTATGGGAATGCAGCAGCCGACAGTGTGCTGTGTGCTCCTGTGTCACAGATGGAGTGGTTACACTGGCGATCCCTCTGCCTCTCCTCCCCCTTAATAAATGTGTTCTGTCGTTGATTTATTTGAATATGGAAATGGTTCAGTGTGGTGTATATGATCTTTGATTTTTAAGACCATCTTCTTTCCAGATGAAAGCCTTGATGTAGGTATTCATAATGGTTACCCTTACATACACCTATAATCACAGAGCCCGGAGGCAGTTTCATAGTTCTCAGCTTACTGTTGGCATTGCTTGTGGGAGTCAGGGTTAGCAGGGATGAAGCATGGGACGTACAAGCTTGTCTCTCTCGAATCCTTTTTCTCTATGAAGCAGCAATTCCGAATCTTCACCCCCATTAGCTTGCATGTCAGCAAAGATGAGTCATTGGAGTGGCAGCAAGCCAGGAAGCATAGTTTGCTCTCCTTTGCTGAATATTCAAAATAGCAAAATTTGGTGCCTGATTAATATTACATAAATATGCAAATTTTTCTAGCATAAAAACTGAGAGGTATAAAATTGGTGTGCGTGTAATGTAAAAGGAAGACCGTAATTTATAAGAAAACTTCCCCCACACAGGAAGGCGAATACCCAAGACAGGCTTCCAGAGACGTCCCTTATGAAGCACTGGCATGCTGCTGTGCTCCGGCTTTGCACAAGTGCCATTTAATTTTGCATAAAGGTGCTAATAAAGAATTCAGAATGTATCAAATGCTCTTGCTTGAAGGTTGTTTAGCAGCAAGGCTAAGACAAAAGAAACTGGCAATTAGGTATATATTTAGCAGTCTTTCTGCAGGCATCTGGAGTTCATTTCAGCAATAATTCAAAAACCCCAGGCCACTTTCTGCCTCCTGCTGCTAAGTGAATGTAGGAGTAAAGCTGCTATTTTCACTGACAAGACATTTTGCTTGTGAAATTCTCTCACTTGCGCATAGTCACTGTTCTAGCAAATTACAACATAAAACACAACTCTCCATGAGTCATGGGGAACATGATGCCTTCTCAGGTGATACAGGATTGTAGGGAGAATGAAAGCAATCTCAAACCAAAGAATTGATATAAATTACGTGAGCCCTTGGCTAGTCTAATCAGGCTGGGCAAAGCAGTTACCTCAAGCCTGCCTTTATTTCAATAAGCCTTGCAATTCCTCTTCCCCAGGCCTCAAA